ATTGGTTAAAATCGGAACTGACTGAATGTGAACTGGATAGTTTTTTTCAGGTTGAGACGGCAAATTCGATTCACAAATCAGCGGTGCTCAGCTGACGGAGCAGCTGAGCGAGAACGGACGACTACTCAGCGAGCGATCTGAGAAATGTGCGTGGCGCACGTGTTTGCGAAACGTGATAATTTTCCAGCATGACACTTGGCCAACAGTGATATTAAAATAAATATTTTACATCGAAGATCTTTGGAAAGAAGATTTCGCATAGAAAGAAATTTGGAAGATGTCGCGCAGACATCCGAAGACAGACTCGTTCAGAGAATAAAATTCTCACAAATAAAACTTTCACAAAAAATTATTTACAAATCTATACAGTGTCGTATTCGGTGTTTTTATCAATATCTTTGCGATGTCTCGGACACGTTTCTATGTCTACGATAATGTTGAAAACTGAAATTGAAAATTTGATTTTATTAAAAAAAATCTTTGGAACGATTCAATATTTGTGTGTAAAATTGTTTGGTATCTTTAAATTCACAAAACGCACCGTCAATTCGTCTCAACGTGAGCCAAGATATCCTGAGAATATTTTAGTAATCTCGAACGAGATTTAAGAAAATGTTACGAATGCGGAAAGAGAAAGAGAGAGAGAATATGTTCATGTTTGTGTCGCGTGCGTCTCTATGAAAGCTACGATGATAGCAGGCCGTCTACCTAGAGATAAAGGTTCCAGTTCAAAAAAATGCGCTTCTCTACTCAGTATTCATTTCTCGCTCTTGAAAAAACCAACATAACATGGTTGCCCAGATAGTTTTGCCTTCAAATAACCGGAATATGGGTAATTTTAATCAATTTATTTGAATATATAAAAGACGTCCTTGAGCTCAAAGCGGTGAATCCAACAAATTACTAATTTTCGGCAAATATGAGTCAATTATTCGCGGATTGTACATGGAATAAATTTTATGCAAGTGACAAAGTGAAATAGTTTTAAAAAAATGATTAAAATCAGAACGTTTCGAACGGTTATAATTTTTAATTTCATCAGCTGATAAACTGTAAATGATGGTTGTTCGAAATATCGCAATCACGCCAAGCATTCATCAAAACATCAAGCGCAGTGTGCTGAGTAACTTAAAAATTAGCGTCGCGCGGAAAGATTGTTCTTGCATCAATCAGCAAGTATGTATCCAATACGCGTTATGCTGGACCACAACCGAGAGGCGCTCCGAACGGGACAAATCATTAAAAGTACATACATATTAATTTTCAAGAAAAACTTTGTTTTTTTCAGAAAAGCTCTTAAAAATCGCGACGATCTTGTGAACAACTGTTTTTAATTACATGAAAAAAAAAGATTTCTGTAACTTACAATATATACAAGATGGAAAGTTCTCATCTCAAACGCACAAAGATCGATCGACCAATACGGGCAGACCAGTGGCGTCTGCGTGCAAATATGCGTATCGAACGTTTCATAGTGCAAGCCCCGAATAACAGTTAAGTCGTAAAAGCGCGACGATAAATAAGCAAGGCGGGTCATCGTCCAGCGGGGAAACGAGATTCGTATTCAACGAACCGTATTAGAGAATCGTCATCGCTCATGTGCGCGTAGAGAGACGTTAACTATACTTCTATAATATTCAGTAGGTAGCGTGATATCTAAATTCGACATTTAAAAAATTTAATCTCGAAAGTTTTATGTTGATTCTGACATTTTAAATGTTATTCAAGCGAAAACATTCGCCTTACGACTCGTTGAACATGCTCGATGTTTCAGATGTTTTTTTTTTTTTTTTTTTTTTTTTTTTTTTTTTTTTTTTCCAATAACTAACGAAGATAATCATTTTTATCGAAGTGTTATTTCTATTTTATATTGAAGCGTTGTAATCGCGTCGACAATTAAGATAAAATTTTATATAAGTCGTCATTATACAGGTATATAATTACGAAAGATACATCACATATCTGGAAAATACACCGGGGAAATACTACGAGAAATACTACGTGGTCGCGATCGATTTTTTTGCAAAAACTCGATCATTGTCGTCATAGGATTTCTATACGACCCATCATCGCCAGTAATCGTCTAGCGTGACTAATAGGACGAGCGAGCTTACAGACGTTTACTGCGCTAGCAAACACGTAGAAGTCTCCTTCACGTGGACACACGCATACACGTTTCACCGGCGTGTGTGAGTGCGACGCATATGTGTGTTCGTATGTGTGTAAGCGAGTAATTGAACGGTAGGCGCGCATAGAGAGAGAGAAGAGGAGGAGAGCAAGCAACAAACATGCCGTTGAGTGCGATCGTCTCGTGCACATTGGACTTTATTGCACTCGCTGACTTACTATGCGAGAAACGAATGAGACGGAAACATCACCATGAAGAAGGATAAACTCAGTTTATTCATAGAACATAGATTTCTTACAATCGCGCTTATAAAAAATTTAAAAGGCCAGAGCGTGCGCAATTGCACTCCGTGTCAAACCAAATGCCAAATGCATATATTTTTCTTTAAAAACAATTATTTTTACACATGCCGCTGTGAAAAGAACGACAAACTGTTGTATATTGTTTGAATTTTGTTTTTTTTAGAAAAATTGATATCAGTGAAGTCTGTCAACTAAAAACTCTTATTTATCTCAATGAAAACATAGATGAATCTATATATTTAAAATGAACTTTGTTTTTCAAATATGGCTCACAAAATTGATTTACTGTTTTGTCCATGAGTTTTGAAATGACCCAATTTTGCGAGAGATTTATTCATATTGTTTCGCGCACAACATCCGTCTGGTTTTCCATATCTTGTTTTGCATACACATAGCTTATACGTTCTCGTGAGAAAAGTATCCGGGAGATGTTTAATTTAATCTCTATTATATATTCTAATCTACATTGAAGACTCGATTATTGTCTAATACTGACCTATCGCAATCTTTGTGAAGTTAAGTCTGTTTTAAAAAAACAAATGTCATTTAACTTATAATCATTGTCCTGTCTAGTTATGATAAACACTCTCTAACACCAATGCAACACACACAAAAACGTCAATATCTGTTTTTAATAAATTTTCTAAGATTAGATTAAAAATATACAGGTGCGGTCGTGGTAACGAGCGGTTGGAATAAACGAACAACAATCTAGACATGCGTCAACGAAGACCGACTTTATCGAAACACAAGAAAAAATCAGAATTCAACGACTTGACGCGCAAAGTGCGCTATTTTGTCGACACCTTGTATAAACGTAATGTGTAAACTCTAATGGCGTCGTCATCGGCGATAAATATTTCTCAATCGTCGTCATATTCCCGCCTCTGTAATTTTTCTCGCTCGCGCAGCACTTTTTAGATCGGCGTCTCCGGGGTTTCCGCGGCAACCGAGATAACAATAATGAAAAATGGTAATAATAATATAAATATGCTGTGCGAACGCATATAGCGCGTTCGCGAATATTCGCAGCGACAAGCCGAGAGTGGTTCGCGATATTACGTGACAAGGTTTTTTCCACACAAAGAATCGGCAATTTGACCGTGAAAAGAAGAGGGACAAAAAAAGGAGCGTTTATATGGTACAAAGCTAAATTTAGAAAGATTAAACGGATGCGCGAACGTGAAGTTTTATGTTAAATCGGTCGATGTTTGCGACACGTGTACTTCCTCAAATTAGAACCTAGAAACACTTGTTCTACGAATTCATGTTTAATGCAGCTTCAGCTCGATATGAAGTGGTTGTGGTCACTTGGACCAATTTCTGATTATTTTGTCGCACGTTGTCATTGTTTTGAGTAAAATGCCCGTCTCACACGTTGGATGATACTTGTTGTTTTTAAAATTCTTTGATTAAAAAAGTTTTGACAAAAAAATTCATACGCTGGTTTCTCTCAATAGCTTAATTCTGGTTCAAGAGAAAGCGCAATTTGTAAAAAATTAAGATTTTGTTCTTTTCATTTCAAATCTCAATATTATATCTCGAAGTTCGGTTTTCCGGCATTCTGCGTGTTTTTATGGGCTTATATGCGGCGCTTTTGCTCGCGACTCGCAAGTAGGGAGGATCTCTACGGATCGCTGAAACTGCAGAATTACAGATCCATGTGTAAATAGCAATTAGAATGGATTATCCAACGCAGATTGATATCGCACGGCTTATCGCGATGCATCTCTCTCGCATTAAATCGCTGCGCGAATCGTAAGTGATCCACGGGATTATAAACTCATAATCGACCTTTGACGTCACAATCGTCACCAGAAGATCATGACGCATTGCTGTACGCGCCGGCACTCGCTCGTGGATTAATCGATCACGCTCGTGTCTCGATTATCTAATCCTCTCGTCCGTTCTGTGTGTGACGGAACACAGAATTCTCTCACGAAGGCTTTGCGAAAATTCGCGCATTAGATTGGGTTGAAAAATTGACGGCGCATAGTGTGACTCAAAGGATGCGGTACACACACCTGACATTCGTGCCCAATCACCCTTTAGAAGAGCGTGACATCCTAGAATCATCGGAAGAACGCCGCATAAACCGAGTTGCGCAATCAAATTTCGGAGCAAAGCTTTGCGGAATCTTGTTCTTCAGGAAAAAAAAAATATTCTCTTCGGAATTATATAACTTTATATAAGCGCGGCAGTGTTGAAATTATCGGGGAATCTTAGTTCAGATCGAGCTTCGAGCAATATAACATGAGGCGAATTGGCGTGTTTTCGTGTTTTTTTAGTTGATATCACACGTATAAAATTTTATCCACAAAACATGTCTCAATATCGTTTTTAAAAATAGAACTATTTACGGTCTTCCAGTCGTGTTGTATAAGAAAACATATCGATACTCAATCAAATTCGAGCGCCCTCGCCGATGACTTAGATAATTAGCGCCTGTTGATTGGTCACCTTCACCAGCATGCCATTGCCGCGGCGCCGACATATGTGGTGCACAACGAGGAGGAGTAGGGGCTTATTTACTCTCGCGCTCGGGTCACGCTGATCTCGGACGAGCGGTGTGGCGTTAGTCTGCGCACAACGCGTGTCGTGCTCTTCCGCTTTTGAACCTCCGCGTGCTCGTTCACTTAGTCTCTTTGTGATTTTCTTACGCGTTCGTTGTCTTTTTCCGCCTCGCTCTTGTGTCACGGGAATGAAAGCGTCGCACGCGTTGCTCCGCGAAGTCTTTAAGCGAGCACAGTAAAACGACACCGACGATATATAGAGATATCGATCGATATGGATCAATCGATATCGCACGTCGGAGAAAAAATTGCAAGGTTTACACTTGTAATGATATATACTTGGAATTATATATAATTGTTAATTTTTAAAAACGCTTTGAATCTGTATTACAGTGTGAACACCGTTCACGTGACACGTAATATAATTATACTATTGTTCACGGAACAGTGAGAAACTTGTGCGAAAAAAAAAAAAAAA